CAGCGTCATGGGGGCCCCCAGCCCCAGGAACCTGGAGAGCTTCTCCATCCTCACAGAAGGACAGAGGGGGGCCACCCCTCCCTCCCTGCCAGCTCCCTGGCTGGCCAGGTCCCCCACCTCCACCCCTGCCAGAGCCCAGCCTGTGGTGAGAAGCAGAGCGAAAGACTTCACCCACAGCATATGGTTTCTAAACCACAGGCAGGACAGAGTGCTAAGAATGAAGGCAACTCCACCTGCCTGGCAGTCACAAAAGAGTCGTCGCTTGGCTGAAACTCTCTTCCCTGTGTCCCTCAGAACAGCCCAGGCCAACCTGAAGGCACAGCTCACCAAGGGAAATGCACACAGCGACCTGAGCCCAGCAAAGAGGCCTGGGTTCTGGGCACAGAGGAGCCTCATGGACTCCCCTCCAGGAGGCTTCCCGTCAGCACCAGGGGACCTGAGTGTGTCTGCTGCAGACTCTGCCTCGGGCTCAACCTCAGCCCCCACACACATCACCTCCCCAGTGCTGCCGTCCCTGGGGGTCGGGTTAGAAACACAGCTGAATCACTTGCTGCAGCCGCTCATCCCTGACTACAGCGTGAGATGGCTCATCGCCCAGGTCGTCAGCGTTTTGAAAATGGACTGTGCTGAGCCCCCCGTGTCCCCCTCCTGTGCCAAGCTCATCTCCAAGTCTCGCCTCCTGCTGATGCGTCTGACTGAGCAGCTGGAGTCCACGGTGTCCCAGGCCCAGTGGGAGCAGCAGCAGCTGTATTCTGACCCCATGGTCACAGAGGGGACAGAATATTCTGACCCCATGGTCACGGAGGGGACAGAAGCCCATGGCAAGCAGAAGGGACAGCAGACGCCTCGGATGTCCAGAGAACATGTTCTTGAAGACATGTATATATACAACTGGATCATCGGGGCATTAGCAGCCCTGGTTGTAATGATGATACCTGTCATCATCACCACCATTGCCTTCTGCGTCAGGCACAGAAGAGCCAGAGTGGAAGATCCAGAGGCCGGGTGGAACCCCAGCGAAGAGGCCGAGCCTGCAGAATCAGCCAGTTACAGCGAGAGTGATGTGCTAGTGGAGGTGGTCATCTAGTGATCTCATCCTGCGAGTGACCAGCAAAGCTTATTTTTCCCTTGTCAATAAAGATGTTCTTATCTCCTATTAAAAAAAAAAACTGGAAAAAAAAATTAAATCCTCTATTACATGTCTTTCAAAAAATTCCTATTTCCCAGTTAGAAATTTACGTTGGGAGTATTACTTTTGAAAAAATAGTCAAGATTTTTTCCTCTCTTTCAGAAAATGTGATGATGCAACCAAAGGAAGCAATGTCACAGTAAGAAAATGTCTTTGGTTGTTCAGCTGATCTATCACTTACCTTTCAAACAATTAGACCTATATAATGCAACTGTTTGCCACCTAATTAAATTTGAAAAGCCAGAAATGCCTGGATTAGTATTTCAGTTTTTGCTTCAGTCAAAACTATTGTTACTTAAGTAGGAGGATATTTAAAATGCAAAATGAATTTTGATATGTGTAGAGGTATAGATATTATTCACTTTTACTTTTCAGTGCTTAGGGGCCAGGGATTCAGCTCAGTGTTTCTGCCGCCTGCCTCCCAAGCACAAGGTCCCAGGTTCAATCCCCAGCACCAAAACAAAACAAAACAACAACAAAAACCCACAAACTTTTCAATGCTTAAACATTATGTATTTTATATTTTACTTGTATAATTTCTATTGTTCATTCCTATTTCCCATTGATGCTTATTTTCTTCAGAATGCCTTTAAGTGAATATTTACTATAACATGAATCATTTGTACTAAAGAAATAATCTCAACTGGTATTAAAAAACCTCAGAACAATATCAACTTCATAGCTAAATATGAAGTACCAGTTCTATTCAAAGCACTGATTCTAAGAATTCATTAAAGTCCCTTCCTGATATTAACATCTCCTAACTTTTGAAAAAAACTTTATTATTTATTCTATGAAAAATTAGTTTGAAAGTGGGTCATAAATTCATACAGATTATTGACAAATTAAAAAGTTTCTTCTATTTAAATTTATATTATTAGGACTGGGAGTATAGCTCCGAGGGGCTGGAGATATAGTTCAATGATAGAGCACTTGCCTAACATGTGCAAGGTCCTGGGTTCAATCCCCAGCTCTGCAAAAAAAAACCAATTTACACTATTTTGGTTTATTCTGAATATCATTGTCTGGGAAAAATTTTTCTTTATGCAGAATTTTTAAATTTCATACTTTTGGGGCTAAAAATGTACACTTTGGCTTTTGTTGCCAAGTGTATATATTATATAAATGTGATGTGTATTTTTATATCAAAGTAATGTATAATAGATCAATGACAGATTTGTGTCCTATTACATAGTTGAAAACATACTTAAATTTTAAAATCTAAAAAATGTTGTCTTTGAGGGAAATATGAGATACAATTTTTTTTGGTACCGGCCATCAAACTTGGGACCTTGTGCTTCTGAGGCAGGCTCTGGAACCACTGAGCTAAATCCCCAGCCCTACAATTTTCAATAATAATAGAAATTAATAGATCACTGGTGAAAAGAAATGACCATTGTATCTATGAGCGCAGTGCTTATAGACTGTGGTAAGCAATGGTGGAACTTGATTGAGCAGGTATAATCCACATCCTGAGGTAGATAGAGCCCAGGGAGAAATCATATGGAACCTGAGCAAAAATAGAAAAGCAGAATGACTATTTGTTCTCTTGATCCCAGTAATTATTGCATTTAACTATTAAACTTTTTGTAAAGGAAAAATGATCATGTTCCTATGAACAGAGAAAAACAATGGTTGTTAATGTAGCCTGTAAGCATCATAGATGTGTGATTCTGTCACCTCAGGTGACAGCTGGAGTCGGAGGTAAACAGGACTAGTCTTTGAAAGCATCCATCAGTAGGGCTTGATGGTGCACTCCTGAAATCCTAGCACTGAAGGAGGCTGAGGTAGGAGGATAGCAAATTCATGGCCCACCTGGGCAATTTAGCAAGATCTTGGGGGGGATGTAAGGTGCTTGGAGAAGAAAGTAACTGATCTGCAAAACTGATGCATTTTGTCAGTGTAGTTTCCATTTTGCACCCCAGTGCTGGCTCCATTGTTTGACTAGCAAGTAGGATTTGTCAAAAGGTCCTCTTTACTTGCATGAAGGGAAATAGAAGTTTTCTGTCTTTCTTTGCCTTAATCTTCTGATTCTTTACTCCAGACCCAGCCACAGAGAAAATAAGTAAAGCAAATCACAGCACCCAACTCTGACTAAGCTTGAAAAAATTGTATCTGTACTTTTTTTGTTATATAAGCACATGTTCTGCCATCTCTTCTAAAGTGAATGATAAGTTATTTTTTATTCTCACTTGTGTACTTTTAAGTAAATGTCTCTTTGGACACAGACCAAGATTTGCAAGCAAACTTTATTCTTCACCAACAAAACAAGTCTCTCTAAGTGTAGCTAAGACATTCTCAGAAAAGTAAGTTTTATTAATTTTGTTTTGGAGCCCATAGTTAAGCAGTATAAATCAATTTATGACAATGTTTAAAATATAAACCTTCTGAAAAAATAATGGAAATTTGGGGACATTTCTAAAATCCCCAATGTTCTTTATGTACTGAGGAAAAACAAAATATCTACCTTCCAACATAAATATATTCCAGTGGGATATCTAACTTGACTAACTCTAGCTTTAATAAGTACTAAATTAAATACCTTTTGTTTCCAAGAATAACATTATATGAAATATAAATTTGAATCTTTCCCTGGTTGTAACCATATTTAAGTTAATGAAAATTGATCTTTTAGAATATAGTAATAATCTGTTTTAAATGATTAGAGACCTGATTGTCACACACATTATTAATTTCTCAAATGAAAGTCAATAGTTTAAGTTGACTAAGTTCAGTTTTAGTTTAGTTTAATTTTAGCTGAAGAGACTAAAATCTTATTCTTTGAAACTGTGTATGAGAAAGATTGCAGGGAGTGAGCAAAAAGGAAATTTATAATTTACCATTAAAATCATGATTTGATCAGTTCTCATGTAGATTGTGTGTGTTTATTTGGCATGATCATCACTTCCAAGTAGTAACATTCCATTTATATTCAGGGCATTGAGTATGTTGATCACCTCCATGAGTGTTTTATTAAGATTATTAAAGGCATTTCCGATTACTCAAACACCCAGAACTATACTGGGTGTATTAGCTTTTTTTGCTGCTGAGACAGAATATCCAACACCTACAACTTAAAGGAGGACAGGTATAAGAAGCTCACGGTTCCGTTCATGATCAGCTGGCTCCAAAACAGTGTCTATGGCTGAAGGGAGTTGGAGAGCAAAGCTGTTTAGTTCATGGCAGCTGAGATGCAGAAAAGGGTAGGAGGCCAGTGCAGAAGGGGCAGGCAAGGGACCAGATAGAGATCCTAAGGCCAAGCCTCCTTGACCTCACCCAGACACACCCAGAAGTACACTCCACCAATTCCCAGAGCAGATCCCAAAGCCAACCCAGTTGAAACTCCACATAACCATCTTATTAGGTAAATTCCCTTACTTTAGTACTATATTTCATAGATTCTTAGATATACATTTTTTCATATTTAACACCTCTTAAAATTAATGTCATCTTACACATAGTGGGGATATTTTTCTTTCTTGGTGGAACATAAAATAATAATAAATCCTATAATAAATATATGGTACGTTAGATTCAAGGAAACATTGTAATTTAAGAAAGAAAAAAGGCATCAAAATTCTTTTTATTTAGTTTAGATCTTAGAACTTATAAATTCTAGTAATTGGGGCCAGGGATTTAGCTCAGTGGTTCCGCCGCCTGCCTTACAAGCACAAGGTTCCCAGTTCAATCCCCGGTACCAAAAAAAAAAAAAAAAAACTTCTAGTAATCACTTGTATAGTGGTCTATGGCATGCCAGGAATCTCACTATCACAGAAATTAAATATTGCAGCGAGTTCTTAACTTCTTACCTATAGAGTTACTTCTTGGATGCTTTATCACACAATTAGAAAAATCAAAGGAACAGAGGCAGTATAAACAATGGCTTTTGATTTAGTTGTGAATACCAAAGAAGTAAGTTCCATTTCACCAAGTAAAAGTTCCATTTCCGGCCGGGGATTTAGCTCAGTGGTTTCGCCACCTGCTGCGCAAGCAGAAGGACCCAAGTTTGATCCCCAGTACCAAAAAAAAAGTTCCATTTCCTCCCATAGTAAGGAACATGACAAGGGGGTCAATTTATTTGCTGTATCAGAACAGAAACCAAGACCAGTAACCTCACTACTAATGTTCTTGATTCTCACTCATATCAACAGGGCAAAATAGAACAGCCATAATTTTGGAGAAAAAATAATACTTTACATTTTTTATATCTTTGCATGCAAATGACAAGTTAAATGTTTTCACAACTTTGCAAAGGAGACATTAAAAGATTCTTAATGGCTGGGGATTTAGCTCAGTGGTTCCGCTACCTACCTTGCAAGTGTAAGGCCCCAAGTTCAATCCCTGGTACCAAAAGAAAAAAAAAAGGATTCTTAAGACCTCAAAAAAGAAACCTGGGGTTATGTTTTCACAAATATAGGTGTCTGCCTCTAAGGACAGATTGCACTATATAAGAATCCCTTGTCTCAATGTGTTAGTTAGCTTTAGCCATAAAAACTAAAAGAGGAAGTTAAGTCTATATTTAGTTTAGTTGTCTAATGAAAAGGCTATTTTACGTTATGACCAAAGGTTAATATTAGTGTTGAGCTTTCTATAAGTGTAAAACTTAGCAATGGCAGGAATCTATTTATAAATTTAAAAAAAAACAACTCAAGACGAATTCCTTAAATAGTTTTAGTGTCATTGTGCCACAGTGATGTATCAAAGGCATTTATATAACTGATTTCTGTATGTTTTATGTTAAGGAAATCTGAAAAGATTCTAGGAATTTTTACACAATAACAAATGCCAGGTAGAAATAGAATAATAATCATCAATAAAAATTATTTATAATGCCTTTCTACAAAGATACTATATTTTGGCTACATAGGTTTACTAGTACTATATTATATTAAACATAGTATGTGTTCATGAACCCATGTGTACCATTAGCCAGAATTATAACCTAGGAAACATTTTTTTTCACTATTTGCTTTAACATTTAGGAAGGAAGTCTCTTCAAAGAAGATTGAAAATAAAGTCTCTTTAAAAAATACTGAAAAGAGAGTATCTTCAAAGAGTATCAAAAAGAAAGATATCTTAAATCTACAATCTGACCTACGGTCATCTTACTTCTTGAAAGAAAGTACAGGTAATAGCATTTGTCTTACTGAATTAATTGTGACTTCTAATTAAACCCTCTTTCCATGACCTCTGGGAGTTGAGATTACTGTAGGTCTGAGACAGGTCATGGGAATCAAATTTTTTCAAACTCAGCTAACTGACCAATTCTGATATGCAGCCAGAAATGGAGTCTATGGGTATATATTATCTAAGATGATAATTATATAAGATGATAATCCTAGAATGGATTAAAAATACCTATGAAAGCATTCACATGTTCTAGTTACTTAACAATGGTTGAAAGCCAGAGTCCAAGCACTAAATTAGAAGTTGTGAATACAACAATTAGCAAAACAGACAAAGTTCATATTCTGGTGGGAGATAGTCAACTATTAAAAAGAAATAACCTAATTGCCCATCAACTGATGAGTGGATCAACAAAATGGGGTACAGTGGCCATAATAAGTGAATGAAATGTTATCATTTGCAACAACCTGGACAGAACTGGAGATCTTTATATTAAGTCAAATAAGCCAAGCACAGAAAGATAAATACAGCAGAATCTCACTAATAAGTGGAATATAGAAAAGTTGATCCTATAGAAGTTGAGAATAGAACAATGGTTACCAGAGGTTAGGGGGAGAGTAGGGAAGAAGAAGGGCTGGGGAAAGGTTGATCAATGGGTACTAAGTTATAGATAGTAGTGTAAGAAGTTCTGGGGTGTTAGTGTACTATAGAATGATTACAAATAATGGTAATGTACTAATATTTCAGTATATATCCTGCTACAGCAAGTAAAATGTAGTAATATTTCATACATCTAGAAGGAGTCTGAATGATTTCAACATAAAAGAAATGATAAATGGATTCTGCACTGGAAATCTCTGTGACTGCTGTTGTTTCTTCAGCAGTCACCTAGTATTTTAGCCCTCCTCCCTTTCCTCTTTCTCCTCCTCCTCCTCTGAGACCCAGTCAGGCCGACGTGCTCTGCTCTCAGTGACTCTGCAACTTGATGGATGACAACAGCCCTTTTCAACAAAAAAGGTACAGAGGCTCAGCTGGTCACAGCACCTGGAAGGAAGCTCCCTGCCTCCATCCCAGGCTCCAAGGGCAGAGAAGGTGAGCCAGTCCCAGTACCCAGAAGGAAGCTCCCCACCTCCATCCCAGGCTCCTAGGGCAGAGAAGCTCAGACAGTCCCAGCACCCGGAAGAAAGCTCCCCCTCTGCCACCCCAGGCTCCTAGAGCAGAGAAGGTGAGCCAGTCCCAGCACCCGGAAGGAAGCTCCCCCACCACCATCCCAAGCTCCTAGGGAAGAGAAGCTGAGCCGGACCCAGAACCCAGAAAGAAGCTCCCCCGCTGCCATCCCAAACTCCTAGGGCAGAGAAGGTGAGCCGCGTGGGTACCAGAAGCATCCCCTCCCATGGAAATGAAAAGACACATAAACAAGTCTCAAAAACAGACCTCTGGACACCTACAGCAACCCCAAAGGGCAACAAGAGGGAACAATCTGATACTCAACCACCTGGACTCTCTAAACTGGCAACGAAAGAGGATCTGGGAAAAATGAAATCAGAAATAATTGCTCAGATAACAGCAAAGATTTTGCTCATTGTGCAAGACATGATTAATAAATCTAGAGAGGACACAGATTAAAAAAATGGAGGATCTGAGGAACATGATGGAATCCCAGCATATGAAACAAATGGAATCCATAAAACAGATACAAACAAATTTCCAAGAGATTAAAAACTCCATCGAAAGTCTGCGCAGCAGAATGAATCAATGTGA